TCTGGTGGTACAGTGTCTAAGGCATTTGACTACTAACCAGAAGGTTGGTGGTTCAAACTCACCAGCCACTCTGTGGAAGGAAGATGGGGCAATCTACTTCAGTAAAGATTTATTGCCTTGGAAACCCTATTGGGGTTGCTATGAGTCAGAACTGACTTGATGGCAGTGGATTTGGGGGGTGTGTGTGTGTGTGTGTGTATACCATAGTTTAAAACAACTCCACAAGAATTGATTCTTAGTCTTACTAATAAAATTAAAAAAAAAAAAAAGAGTGAGAGAAACAGATTCTGTCCCTACCTTATCCTTCTTATCCTGCCGTGCATAAGGGAAACATGGGATGACTGCAGTAACCCGGCTGGCTGAAGCAATCTTGCAGGCATTAATCATGATCAAAAGCTCCATGAGATTATCGTTGATTTCTCCACAACCACTCTGAACAATGTAGACATCCTCTCCACGCACACTCTCGCCAATTTCCACACTACATGGGGAAAGGAAGGACAACATACAACAATAGATTTTTAAGCACTATACTATAATTCAAAAGGATCTCTGGTGGCGCAGTGCCTAAGGCATTTGACTTCTAACCAGAAAGTTGGCAGTTCAAACCCGCCAGCCACTCCATGGAAGGAAGCTGGGGCAACATACTTCTGTAAAGATTTATCTCCTTGGAAACCCAACAGGGGTCGCTATAAGTCAGAATCGACTCGATGGCAGTGACTTTGGTTTTGGTTTTATAGCATACTTCTATAAACAGTAAGGTCTAAAAAGCATAGGTTCTCTACCAGTATGCTGTGACTAGGTTATGCCTTCATATCAATCCTGGTGCTCTCAGACTGCAGGAGAGTCCCTGCACCAGAAGCAGCCTCCTCAGTTTAGTCCAGTGTACCATACAAATATTACCATTTTCTATATGTAGCATGACAGGAAGATTGGCTAAGGTCAGTCTAAAGCACTTACAAGTGATTGGACCAAGCTGGGGGCCCTTATCTTGTTTCACGCAGATACATGAATATGAATATGACATGAATGCAAATTTGGTATATTACCTGTTACACAATCCTTACTTGACAAAAAAGTAGAAATATCATACAAGGAATGGATCATTATTATTCCATAATGATGTTCTATTATATGATAGTACCACTCTACCATACTGGCAATTCACTCATCAAATGTTCAGTGTGTACAGGCCAATCACTGTGCTAGTGTTAGGAACACAATAGTGAATAAACAGATGAAGTCCTTGATCTTGTCCTATACTAACTTGTGTGCAGTTGAGCTGATTTGTGATCCACAGAGATCCCACACGACAGAGCAGAACTGCCCCATATGGTTTTCTAGGCTATAATCTTTTCAGAGGCAGATCATCAGGTCTTTTGCTCACAAGCCAATAGGTAGGTCTGAGCTGCCAACTTTCAGTTAGCAGTCAAATGCTTAACCGTTGTGCCACCAGGGCTCTTACACTAACTATAATCTGGACCAAGAAGTAAGTCTTCTTTTAAAAAATTCCTACTCTAAAAATTGTTGCTGTTGTTCGATGCTGTCAAGTCGATTTGACTCACAGCAACCCCATGTAACAGAGCAGAACTGCCCCGTAGGGTTTTCTTGGCTGTAATCTGTAAGCAGATCTGCAGCAAACCTGCTGTATGAATTCGAACTACCAACCTTCCAGTAGCAGCCAAGTGCTTAACCATTGCACCACCAGGTCTCCTTGCTCTAAAAAATAAATGTTT